GTGTGTGGGTGCTGGGGATCTGAACTCCGGTTCTCATGCTTTCATACCAAGCACACTTTATTCATGACACCATCTCCCCCGCTCCAAACTCTAATGCCCAATTGGACTTAATTCAGATTTAATTTTTTTTTTTTGGTATTTATATGTGTATACATACGTGTGTGCAGTAGGTACATGCTCACACACAGACTCAATTTTTTAAAATTTTTGTTTGAAATAAAGTCCTTACCCATAAAAAAAAAAAGCAACTTTGAAAATCAGTAGATGAGTAAAATTTAAAAACATGCTTATACGCATACAAAATCTATTTGGAAAAATATATGACAAAAATGATTTGGATATAAAAAATTTATAAAGTTTTAACGAGGTCAAAGATCATAAACAAAATAAAAAGATAAATGAAAAAGTGGGGAGAAATCACTTTGGACTTACATGTCAAAGGATGAATGTCACTAACATACAAAGTGTCTCTGAGAATAAACATCGGGGGGCCCGAGAGATGGCTCGGCAGTTAAGAGCACTGACTGTTCTCGAAGAGGACCCAGGTTCAATCCCCAGCACCCACATGCTTAAACTCATCTTCAACTCCAGTCCCAGGGGATTTGACACCCTCTTCTGGCTTCTGTGGGCACCAGGCATGCACACATTAACACAAGAAGATGAGACACCCATAAATGTTAAATAAATAAATAAAAATTGTAAAGGAATCAAAGGGGTTAGAAAGAAAAAGCCTCTACCGTGGAAGCCTGGCTGACCCGAGTTCAATTCCCAGAGCCCACAGTGGAAGGGGGAAACTAGTTCCTAAAAGTGTTTTATGGCATGTACATACATGTACATATTCACACACACACACACACACATGTGGTGGTATTGTGTTCCCCAAAATATTGTGCACCCTAATAAACTTACCTGGGGTCAGAGAACAGAACAGCCACTAGATACAGAGGCTAGAAAATGGTGGCACTCGCGCCTTTAATCCTAGCATTCCAGAGGCAGAGATCCATCTGGCTCTCTGTGAGTTCAAGGCCACATTGGAAACGGCCAGGCATGGTGACACACGCCTTTAATCCCAGAAAGTGATGGCAGAAAGCAGAAAGGTATATAAGGCGTGAGGAACAGGAACTAGAAGCTTTTAGTCTGTTTAAGCTTCAGGCTTTCGAGAAGCAGTTCAGCTGAGATTCATTCTGGATGAGGATTGAGAGGCTTCCAGTCTGAGGAAACAGGATCAGCTGAGGAACTGGCAAGGTGAGATGGCTGTGGCTTGTTCTGCTTCTCTGATCTTCCAGCGTTGACCCCAATACCTGGCTCCAGATTTGTTTTTATTAATAAGACCTTTTAAGATTCATGCTACACACACACACACACACACACACACACACACACACACACACACACACCATGTATATACACAATAATAAGTAAATAACTTAAACATCAATTCAATTATCCCTAACTACATACAAGAAAAAAGATGTCCAAGACTCAGTTGTAATATTAGGAATGTCATATAAGAGACTACGACGAACAAATAAACCTAAGTGGCAGTCAGCGGGTGCCTTTGTGAGCGGGTCGTGCAAAGGACACACGTGCCACTAAGAAGTGTTTGGAAATCATGCTGCCCATCCTAATGGTAAACACTATTTTTTTCAAATGCTACACGTAGTAGAACAAGCAAACACTTGCATCACTGCCAGAGACAACCAGATTTCTGGAGAAGACCACATGCTGTCTTCTGCTTTTCTGTTTTTGTTTTTCCATCCTCCGGAGCTTTGCCTAGCTCACAGTTTTATCTTTGTGCCTGGGAAAGAGGCTGCCCATGTACCAGGGGGATGAATCCGGAGTGAACCCCGCCAGACCGGCCAGGAGAGAGCCAGACCCCAAATGTCCTTGGAGACATCTTGATAGTCAGCCTCCAGCCTTGTGAATGCCTTTGGAGCTTAATCAGGACAAGCTATCAGTTGTGAAATACCTAGGTCCTTCTGAAGGAGGGCCACCACAGACTCACCCTACCATTGTGTTCTGGTGACCCTGTTTCCATACTACGGCCCTGCACTGGATTGCATCTGTGTTTAGTGAGGTTTTCTGGTGAGGAACAAACCATGAAACCGAGTTTGCGCACAGGAAGCTTGCACACAGGAAAGTGCCTTTCTCCTTTATTGCTAGAGTCCCAGAGCCACCTGTGGGCGGTGTCCTGTTAAAGCTGGAGATCTTCCGGACTTTTCTGAGCTCAGCCTTGAAAATAACCCATCTTATTATATCAAAAATACTCACAGGAGGAGTTTATCTAGCCAGAAAAAGGGTATTAGATCCCCTGGAACTGGAGTTATAGGCAGTTGTACCAAGAACCAAATCCTTGTCCTCTGCAAGAACAGCAAGGGCTCCTGGACAGCTAAGCCATCTCTTCACCCCCCCCCCTTTATCTTCTTAAAAGGAGAAAGCATAAAATAAATGACTCTGACAACCAATGTATGTGGTAGGAAGCAAACTCAGGCAGCTGAGAGTTCTATGAGGAGCCAACTCCCAGAAGTCCGTGCCCTCAACAGTAAATCACAAAGGCGTCCTGGCAAGGGGCGGGGCAGGGACTCAGCGCCGAAGGCAATTAGTGCTCAGTAAACAGGGCAGATTGGTTTGCTCTCTGCCCGGTTCCAGGCCCACCTTCCGAGCAGCTGGCGTGAAGGCTTTTGAAGAAAAACAAACAGGAGTCCACGCTCCCATAGCAATTCAATTTACACAGCGGATCCCATTTGATTTGCGGAGGAACAGCCTGTGTTTGGTTCTGTTTGCTTTGTTCTGTGGGCAGAGCTTCTGGATGGCAAAGCCAGGAAAATGTGCCGAGTCATGATTCCCTTCTCCCAGGATTTTGACAAGAGCCCGCTTGGGCGAGGCCAAGAGCTGAGGCAGCCCTACAAGCAGGGGATAATAGAAGGTCCCTTACCCCTTTTTCTAAGTGAAACTCTGCAGGGCAAACATCACCCCCCTGTGCCCAGGGGCACACGCTGCCTCCCACAGGAGAAGCCGCGCTCTTGAGAATAAAGTCAGAATAATAAAAATAGTGAGCATTCGTGGGTGTCAGCGGCTTTCCAGTCACCTCCATGTTACTTAATTCTCAAGATAGCCCGGTGGTGTCATTTATAAAAGAGAAAAACAGCATCTTGAGGAGCCGATAATATGCTCATGGTCACCCAGACACAGGGGCTGAGCTAGACTGAGCATGGGCCTCCTTTAAGGAAAAAGCCCTCCTTCTTCCTCTTCTCCTTCCTCCCTTTCTGGCCGTGAGGGGTGCACACCTCCGCTGTCCCTCCCTCTCTCTCTCTCTCTCTCTCTCTCTCTCTCTCTCTCTCTCTTATAATAAACTCTCGATATGGATGCTGTGTCTGCATGGTATGAGTGACTTTTCACCGTGCCACGCCACTGCGAGTCTCCCTCAGCCACCAGGGCACCTTGGCCCAAGGTGCCAAGGCCTTCTGCGGGGCTGTATCCTTACAGAGATAGCATCCCAAACGTTACGTCTTCACAGACCTCTGATCCCTGGTGGTAGTTCACTGCTTTCTCAAAGAGGGATCTCATAGCTGGCATCCTTCAGACAACTGAGCACATAACAAGGGTACCAAGACGGTGATTAAGGAGGAGAAAATGTACTGTAATGCTAACCATGTGTTTCACACACTCGGGGCAATGCTCCTAAGCAAAAGGGAGGCATTCTGTTCTTCAAAATGAGTCTCTCCTTCATTCTTGGATCCTCCAGTGTAAGGATAATCCTGTGCTGACTGGGAACAGCCACAGACCTTCACCATCAACACATCATGCACACAAGCTCACACACACACACACACACACACACACACACGCTGGAGTCATGACCTCCTAGTGCCGATCCTTGGGGATTGTTCCTCCCGAGGACTTTAAACACCAGTGGTAGAAACTTCCCTCCTGATAACACAACTACCTAGGCACCTGGCTCCTCAGCCAGGTGAGGACTGCTAAACACTTCTAGGCAGGGCATTGCAGACACATTCCCCTAGTCCACACCCTTCCCACACTCAGCCCACAGCATTTCCGGTGTCCAGAAATCTCTCTCTATTCACAGAAGACTCACTTCGGGTCGATATAAATGTATCAGGCTCATTTTAAAGGCTCGTTCTTGGAAAATGGGCAGCCCTGGCATTCGTATTTATATAATTTCTCTGCTGAAACATGTTTGACCTAAACTCCCAGGCTGGGCACGGTTTCCCACCTACTTTAGGAACCCAAGAGAGAACTCTAATCTCTACAAAGAGAAACCGGCTCATTTTGCTCTAGGAAATTATTTTCCTGTGCTTTCATATTAGAGCGATTGTACCAAGACAGTTCCGTTTTGTATTATAAAGCAAAGGCCATAGTTACCACAACACAGGGGTGTTGTGAGAGAGAGACCGTAGAAGCCTGGAACACACTGAGGAAGTGATGAAGCTGGACATGGTGGTACCTGCCTGCCTATCATCTCAACTATTGGAGAGACTGGGACAAGACTGCATTGGAGCCTTGGAGCCCGGGCCAGCCTGAGCAATGCAGGGAGACTCTGACTCAAAAAAAGAAAGCTCTGGAATAAGACTTCTCCTCCAGGCCAGGGTCCTGCAGTTCTGACACACTAGCTCTTCCAACCCAGGAGTCAAAATAGTTCAGTCCATTGGCTTTTGAGTCTGCTCTGGTCCAGTCTAGAGCTAAACTATATCCAGTAATGTATATACTTAACATTCCCGTGGAGTGTCACGGCATCCGGGAAGGAAAACAATGTGCCGAGGGAAAAAAAACGAACCGAAATATTTCATCAGAACTTAAAATTCATTCTCTAGACAGTGGCTAGTGCATACACAGGGTGGTATTGATGGGAGGGGCACATCAGGGCAATTGTCAACATTGGCGGATGCAGACAAGTCAGCAAAGTCAACCCTTCCCCGTCACTGGATATCTTGAACACAATACCAACCAAAACAGGACCTTGAAATCAAACACGTATAAGGTAAACTTTATTTATTTATTTATTGCTTAAAAAAATCATAGCTATAAATTTTAAAGATTTCTTTTTTAGTGCATGTGTGTGTGTGTCACCGGTACACAGAGGCGTATGGGAGACAGAAGAGGGTGTCGGATCCCCTAGAGCTGGAGTGATGTTTTATTTTCTAACTTTGAGAGACAGAAGAATGAGGTACAGAGAACTCTCCAGAAGTCTGAGTGTGGTGCACCAGTCTAATGTGCTTTGAGCCCCATTGTTACATTACTGAGCAGAACTGACAACCAAATCATATGCTTGGACACAGCTGGTTCCTGACCTCAGGGGGGCGCTCTGGGGGCTTGTGTAATACAGTGCTTCAGGCGCCTGGAAAGAAGGCACTGTAATGCACCAAATAATCTCACATATCTTTTAAGAAAATAAGCCGGGCGGTGGTGGCGCACGCCTTTAATCCCAGCAGCCTTTAATTCCAGCACTCGGGAGGCAGAGCCAGGTGGATCTCTGTGAGTTCGAGGCCAGCCTGGTCTACTGAGCAAGATCCAGGAAAGGTGCAAAGCTACACAGAGAAACCCTGTCTTGAAAAAAAAAAATGAAAAGACAATTTTGGCACCACAGGAAGGGAGCCCTTACTTAAAGAACCCTTGGCTGTTTGTTTTAAAATACCTAACTTTATGGCTTATCTTTTTTTTTCTTTTATTTAAGAAAAGAAAATGTTTGTCTATTGCCAATGTGTTTATTCCCCCCCCCCCCCCATGGTGCTGGTGATCAGCGAACTCAGGGCTTCCCCCACCTGCCATGCCCTCACTGTTCCCCTGAGCTTCAGGAAGCACAGCCCTACCACGCCAGTCTACAGCTGTCCTCGGGCCCTGTCACCTGAATCCCTGTAGACTTCATTAAAATGCAGATGCGTGGGCCAACATGCAGAATTAAAATTAAAAGCATAGTATCAAGCACTTAAGTTTCTGGAGGGTCTGTAGGGGATTCTGAAGCATGGCGAAGTTGAAACCCATTTCTTTTTTTTTTTTCCCCGGAGCTGAGGACCGAACCCAGGGCCTTGAACTTGCTAGGCAAGCGCTCTACCACTGAGCTAAATCCCCAACCCCTGAAACCCATTTCTGTAGAGGAAACCCATTGGTTGAATGAAACCAAAGCTGAACCCATTTCTATTTATTAAACATTATTTCTGCCCTCCAGTGTTCTTGGGATTACATAAGGGTGGATGAGAGTATTGGTTTCTCTTCACCCTGGCCTTTCCCACGTCTAATGAACACACAGAGCATCTTTTTTTTTTTTTTTTTAGCCCTGTCCATGAATTAAAATGCAGTAGTGGAAAAGCCCAAGAGAAATCACCATGGGCTTCATTTGGAAGACAGGCCAGGCCTTGCAACTCATTCCCACGGTGCTCCAAGCAAATGGATGCTTCCCACTTGCCAGACGGAATGGTTCAGAGGTGTATTTCCAAGCTGGAAACCGGCAAATCAGTAGCTCTTAGGAGACACCAGCAGAGTGGATGCTGACCAGCACCAGGGAGCGAGGTCCTAGGAGCCAGCCACGGCGGGGGGCTGGAGGAATTGAACGAGCTCATACTCAGTGGACACCAAATGCCCAACAGTGCTTCAGCAAGGACAACAAAATAGAAAACGGATAAGACTGGACAGCTGTGATTTAAAATAGTTTGTCTAAAGTCTTCAAAGTCTTAGTGACATTATAACCATAGCTTTCATTTCTGGAAAGGAAATGGCTTTAGCGTCTTCTCTGGACTTGCAGGTCTGGGCATAGAGGAGACAGCAATTATTCCTTGGGGGGGTCTTCACAAATATCCTGTCATGAGGAGTGCATGGCTGAAGACAGGACCCCTTGAGTACCTTGCAGTGGTAGAACTCATGGGGGAAAGCGGAGACTCAGCTTCTTGACCCAGAGAAATCTTGGTGAGGCTAGTCAACAGTTTTACATCCAGAACTCACCAGCAAAGGTGAAACAGAACAGTACCATTTCTCGGAGGAGGGGAAGACAAGGGACAGAGGTTATGCCCACAGTACATAAAAAAAAAGCAGGGTATGTGAAAGTATGTTCTCCTTCAGAGTCAGCCGGAGTTTTGCTACAAGGTCTTGACTCTAGGGAACCTGCCTAACAATTTTATATATATGGTATAAAGTAGAAAAATAGAGAAAATAATGCCTTTTAATATCCCCCTAAACATTAGAGGCAACTTTGTAGAAAAAGGTTGTTGGCGCTGGCTTAGGGAGTTTTTTGTTGCACGTGTCCCAACAGGGCAAGGCGGCGAGCAGCAGGATGAAGCCCCCCAGCAGGACGCAGCAGCCACTGAAATAAAAGGCGATGTCGTAGGTCTGCGTCCAGTCATAGAACCAACCTGAGAAAACAGTGAGGAAAAACAGAGTAAGTTTCACAGAAGCGGTGTTCACGGGGGGGGGGGGGGGGGGGGGGGGGGGGGGGGGGGGGGGATGTGTGCATGCGCCCACCTGCTTCCAACGTGGCCGACTGTGCTTTAACAGTGGGGGTCTTTTAAATATTTGAGGTGGGTATTTTTAGGTTCTTCCAAATAAAGAATGGGCACAAAGCCAGAGGAAGTTTATCAGCTTAACTGTAATCATATCACAGGGGTGTGTGTTTCCGCGCGTGTGTGTGTGTGTGTGTGTGTGCGCACGCGCACGCGCGTGCGTGTGTACTGGGTCAGGGTCTCATGTAGCCCAGGCTAGCCCAAAACTCAACACATACCAAAGATGAGCTTGAACTTCATACTTCAGATCCTCCCAAGTGCTAGGATTACGGGTGTGGGCTACCACACCTGGTTTTAGTCAGAGCTGGAGAATAAACCTAGGGCTCCCTGCACACTAGGCAAATACCCTTCCACCCAAACTACACTCTAGCCCTAGTAAAATAATCTTAAATAAGCTACCATGAAATAATCCATTTGACTTTGTGCAAATCTACGCTATTGCTGAGAACTTCTCTATCTGGAAATGTCACAGTGAGGAACAAGAAACTGAGCTGACTTCAACATGAACATCTTACCAATAATCGGTGGCCCGAGGCTATTCCCAAGTCCTGCAAAGAACATGAGTATTCCATAGGCGTGGGCTAATTTGTCAATCCCCACAGTCTTTGTGGTCACATACGGGAAGATGGACCAATTGCCAGTAAGGAAACCCAAGATCCCAGAAAGTATCGCCAGGGTGACGTAGCTCTTGGCAAGGGGGATTGCACACAAGGCCAGACCCGTGATGATCAGGGTAGCGACATAGAGATACAAGGTGTTGATCCACTTGAAGTCAGCCATGATGCCTAAAAGAAGCTTGCCCACGGCTGTCATGATGCCGATAATGGAGATGAGTGGTATGGTGAAGTCCTCTTCCCTCACGTTGGAGCTTCTCGCTACATCCTCCATGAGCAGCGAGGGCGGGAACCCTCCGATGTCAAAAAGCAAGATGGCAATGAAAAGGGCGGAGAAGACTTTGTTTTTAAAAAGAGACACAGTCTCACCACAGTAGTTCCTATATAATTGCCATTTCCTCTTGGCAAGCTGCTTGCAAAAGTAAGTCTGCTCCACGACCTTCTTTCTGTAAGGCTCGGGCTCCTTGGCGTGTGCTGCAGCTGCAGGATTTTTAGGAGTCTCCTGTCTCCAGTCACCACGGGGCAAGGTGCTGTTGCATTTATCTTCACTCCTGTAGCTCCTGTCCAAGATGATTGTGTTTTCTTCCAGGCTCTTCTCTTTCTCGTTGTACGTGGAGTACCTATCTAGAACATTCTCCGGAGCTATTTTTTCAGGAAAAGGAGAGTCGGAAGGCTGCAAGGGTCTCATCAGGCTGCCACAGGCTAGTATGTTTAAAGCCAAAGCGCCCACAATAAGTAGGCACCCATCCAGGCCATAGAACTCTATCAACACCCTCTGCAGAGCCGCATAGATGAAAAGGCCCACGCTTGACCCTGCAAGAGAGCAAGAACCTCTCAGTCTTCGTCTGATCGTTTTTACAGCCTTAGAACACGCACCGGTGGCATCACAGAGACAATTATGATTAACACTGATATTCATGGGGCCTTTGTATTAAAGCCATGAGAACACTGAGATGTCAGGACGGCGGTATTGACGGAACATCCATCTTCAGAATCAACATCCAAACACCCTGTTTGTATTTAGGGGTTTTTTTTTAAAGGATTTTAAATTTTTTATTTTATGTGTATGAGTGCTTTAGTTTCATGGTTATATGTGCTCCACATATGCACAGTACCCATGGAGGCCAGCAGAGGGCATTGGATCCCCTGGAGCGGGAGTTACAGACAGTTGTTAGACTCCATGTGGGTGCTGGGAACCAAAGTCCCATCCTCTGCAAGAACAGCCAGTGCTCTTAACTATGGAGCCACCTCTTCAGTCCTGCCAGGATTTATCTCATTTTTTTAACTATACACACATGCACACACACACACACACACACACACACACGTGTGACTTCACACATACACATGTGTGTGACTTCACACACATACATACACACACGTATGTGTGACTTCACACACATACACACATGTATATATAGGCTGACTTCCAGTGGGTCAACACACACACACACACACACACACACACACACACACACACACACACATTTATAGGCTGACTTCAAGTGGATCAACACCTTGTATCTCTATGTAGCTACCCTGATCATCACGGGTCTGGCCTTATGTGCAATCCCCCTTGCCAAAAGCTATGTCACCCTGGCAATACTTTCTGAGATCTTGAGTGTTCTTACTGGTAATTGGTCCATCTTCCCGTATGTGACCACAAAGACTGTAGGAATTGACAAATTAGCCCATGCCTATGGGCTGTGTGTGTGTGTGTGTGTGTGTGTGTGTGTGTGTGTCTTTATGTCTCTGTGTGTGTGTCTGTGTGGAGTGAGTGCCCACAAAGTCCAGATGAAGACATCAGATCCCCTGTAGCTGGAATTACATTGGCTATGAGCTGCCTAGTGTAGGTACTGGGAACTGAACTCAGGTCCTCTGTGAGAGCCACAGTGCTTTTAATCTCTGAGCCATCCCTCCAGCTCCCTGTAGTGTGCTTTGGATACACGCTCTTATTCATTACTTTTAATGGACCTATTGAGTACATCCTCCTATAACCCCCAATCTACGGATGAAATGAACAGGGGCTAGAGAGCTTGAGACATTACCCCAGAGCTCAATGCTGTAAAACAACATAATGCAGTCAGCCTGACTCCAGGACCCCATGGAATTTAGTTATTTAAAAATTTTAATTATATTTTTTGTTTGTTTAGTGTATATTTTTATATAGCCGTGCACTTTCCACAGCGTGCACGTGTGTGTGTGTGTGTGTGTGTGTGTGTGTGTGTGTGTGTGTGTGTGTGTGTGTGTGTGTGTAGTCAGAGGACAACCTTTAGGAGTCAGTTCTCTCCTTCTATAATGTGGGTCTCAGGACTTGAACTCAGGTCATCTGGTTTGGCCGCACACGCCTTTATCCACTGAGTCATCTTGCTGGCCCTTATAATAGTCTTAACATACACTGTCTCTGACTACCTTTTACATTTACTGTGTACTGGGCTCCATGCTACGTTTTATTGCCTTTGGAAAAGCAAATTTTTACATTTTAGTTTTAAGACGACTGCTATAGATTAGTTTTAGGATGTAATAATGGTTTGATCACTTACATTCATTGCTGAATCACCAGAATGAGCGATTTGTATTCTTAGCACATTAATGGAAGTATGAGAAGAGGCTGAAGTGGGATTTGATGGAGTATTTCAATTATAGTACGCTGGCTTATACATCACACAGGAACAAAAAACGCCTCCTCTTCAGCATCCATCTCCCTAAGCACAGTTCTTGTTTTTTAAATTGAGTATTTAAAAAAATTTAAATATCCCTGGGAAATGCCATATCAAACAGCAGGAAAATGTAAACAGGTTAATTTTTAAAATTCCGAGTTAGATGATCATAGCATCCATACTCTAAAAACTCATCTCATCAACCAATATTATAACCAGGAGCACAGAGATGGTTGCAGCGGTTAGGAAACACTGGCTGCTCTTGCAGAGGACCCAGGTTCAGGTCCCAGAGCCCACGGGACAGCTCCCAACCATCTGTAACTCCAGTTCCAGGGGGAATCCTACGCCTCCTGCTGGTCCCCTTGGGCACTGTGTGAATGTGGTGCACAGACAGACAGGCAGGCAAAACACCCATACACGTAAAATAAAGATAATAGACAAATTCAAAATCCCTTCCCTATCTTTGAACAGTGGTACATGCTTCAACAGCTAGAAACAGTTCAGAGAACAAAGAATGGGGGGGGGGCAGAATGGGGAACTTCAAGACAGCTGTTCTGTGTCTTCACCCATGGACTGTTGGTGACTTTTATCTACACGCTATACAGATTCTAGTAAGATGCCACACCATTACACACTAAACATGTTCTTCTCAGAATATTTAAATGTATTGTGTATGGATGTTTTGCTTGAATACACATCTGTGCACTATGTGTGTGCCTGATGCCCGGAGAGGCCAGGGAGGGCATTGGATCCCCTGGAACTGCAGTAACAGACGGTTGTATTCTGCCATGTGGAGGCTGGGAACAGAACTCCAGTTCTCTGGAAGAATGGCCATGCTCTTTAACCACTAGGCCAGCTCTCTAGACCTTTAAACATGTTCCTGATTTTGTTGTTGTTGTTCTTTTTTGTTATTGTTGTTGTTTTTTATTTTTTTGGTTTTTCGAGACAGGGTTTCTCTGTGTAGCTTTGCGCCTTTCCTGGAACTCGCTTTGTAGTCCAGACTGGCCTCGAACTCACAGAGATCCGCCTGGCTCTGCCTCCCGAGTGCTGGGATTAAAGGTGTGCGCCACCACCGCCCAGCGTGCCTGATATTTTTAAAGTTCTGTTTTTGTGGCAGAAAGACGGATCAGCAGAGAAAGGCCCCTGCCACCACACCCGAGGACCTGAGTTCAATGCCTGGGACTTACATGCTGGTTAAGGAGAGCCAACTTCAGCAAGTTTTCTCATGAACTCTGCATGAGCTATGGCAAGTAGGTGTGCATGCTCACATTCACACACACACACACACACACACACACACACACACACACACACACACACACAAATAAGGAAATGTAATTTAAAGTTTTAAGTTCTGCTTTGATCTTAAGTTGAGAACGAATTGCCATTGCTGACCAACAGAGTCCATCTGTCAAACTCATGAAATATATCAAATCACTTCGGTAGATATTACTAACAGCTACAATATGCTATGTGACAGGGCAGGCCAAATTCTACACCTTGGCCTGTATCCCATGAGAACATGGCCATGACTTAGAAAGATGCAGTGATTCTTCAGTGCAGTAGGAACCAATGTCAGAGTTTCCTCGTGGCGCTTTGGAAAATGCAAAGCTCTAATTTTTAACCATCTACAAGAACATCTTAATTGAAAAATAGTCAACGTAAAGAGCAAAGTGAGAAAAAACACTAATTATGTTTTCATCCGAGTCTAGATTTCACACTGCTACAGAGAGGAAAAATAATTGGTGTTTAGGGAACCTCAGCTCAAACTGGAAGAGACACACACATGCATTAATTAGCTCATCAATACCAATTCTCTCAAGCTTTTCTGTAACAGGTCAGAGGACAAACATTTAAGACACTGTGAGCCATACAATACCTGTCTGTCCCCAGTACTCAACTCTCCCAGGGAAACAGAAACACCAGACAGCAGACAGCATGGTTGTTTATGGACACTCAGTTTCCCCAAATGTTCACACATTATGAAATGTTCTTTTCACTTTTAAAAATAGGGTAAAAATAGAAAAAACATGCTTGTGCAATGTACAAAAACAGAGAGAAGCAGATTGGAGCAGAGACTACTTTTCTAACCCCTGTTCACCGTCGAGGAAGATCACAGCCCACAGCCTTCAGGGTTTTGTTGCTGTCTGTTTAGATACAGGTCCCCTGCAACGGACCCAGAGCTGACCTTGAACTCACATTCCCCTGCCTCAGCCTCCTAAGTGCTGGAATGGCAGATGTGCACCATCATGTCAGGTTCAAACCTTTGTAATATGCTTATATTTCTGCATCTTACCCCTTTCAACTAGGTGGTCATGTTTCAAGTCATTGACTCGTGGTTTCTTTTGGAAAAGCTACCGTGACTCTGTTTTGCTATGATCTCCCTAGATGAAGGAGGGTCCATGCCTGGCTCTCCTTTCAACTCACCTAGCTCCCGTGGGTTGATACTAACCCCTTCAAATCTCGACTGCCCGCGGGTGGTGCATTTTTGATTTGCTGTGCTACGGCGCAGGCCCTCTGCCCCGCCCTCCAGACTGGGTGCCAAGCAAGAGCCGCGCAACAGTAGAATATTTCCCGTGTCTTCAGCATCAGTAAATGTGAACACAACAGGATAGTCTGGTCACAATGACAATCACTAGCCGTCGTACAGTCCACGTGTGCCTTTACAGTCCAATAACCCAGTGTCATGTCTGACATTCCTGTTCCTATTTTACAGTTCAGGAAACAGACGCTAAGCAGTGAAGTATCTTGTCCACCAAGGGAGTGCCAGAAGTCCAGCTCCAGGATGCTGGAGAGATGGCCATTAAGAACACTTTCTCCAATGAGGAGAGAGTGGACACTAGCTCCCTCCCTAACCCAGAGGCTATCTCCAATTGATAACCACTCACACATGAAAAATGTGTTTTCTCTAATAGATGGCCAACACAAAACAAACTCAATGATATTTTTGGAGGTGTTTTTTTTTTTTTGTTTTTATGCTTATTTGTCTCATAATGCTTTGTCTAGGCTGCTTCTTCTTCTTCTCCTCCCTCTCCTCCTCTTCTTCCTTCTTCTTCTTTTTCTTACACTACAAGCCCTTAAGACCCGAGATCTGGACATGCTAGCCCTCTTGGTTCCTGGTGATCCTGGATGCTGGATGGCAGACGCAGTCAGAGTTCTCCAGAGAACCCTGCTGGACTGTACCTCACCTCTCCTGGATCCTGTAATCAATCCCTTTACTGGCTGTAAGTTACCCCAAAATAAACTTCCTTTTTAACTAGGAAGTTTAATGTGGAGCTGCCTTGCTCAATCTCCACATTATGTATATGCTATTTTATACCTTCAGTGATCATCTGTTAGTTATTAAAGGGATAATGAGAGTGTGTGTTGCTGGGATGTGTAGCTAGGTCAGTGAGCCATGTTCAGAAATCAAGACCTTGGGCAGGCTGTATATTCCACACTGTGTGACAAGGCTGACCTCAGACTGACGGGGACTGCGGCCTCTCGTTTCCTTTCTTGTTCTCCGCAGAGCAGTGGCTTTAGAAGGAGTCTCTGCTTTTCATCCAAGCGCTGTCCTCCAGATAGCTGTGAACACCCTGGGCCTGGAAGCCTCCTCGGCATCTCTCACGCTAAGGTCTGGTACTCAGATTTGTCATTTATGGAGCTTGGAGTGTGTTTGTTTGTTTGTTTGAGTTTCATGTTGTTTATTTTGTTGCTTTAAGAGACAGGATTTCCTTGTGTATCCCTGGCTATCCTGGAACTTGCTCTACAGACTAGGCTGGCCTGGCCTCAAACTCAGAGAGATCCACCTGCCTCTGCCTTCCGAGTGCTGGGACTAAAGGTGTGTGCCATCACTGCCTGGCTTGGATCATGGGGTTTTTGAAAGCTATTCCCATATTTATGGTGGAAAATATACTTGCCTTCTAGGAGAGCTGGAAGAAACCACTTTGCTTTCTGATTGACAGCTCGGTAGAGGCTCATTGAACACATGTGGTTCACACCTCTTCGCTCTGTTCAGAACGTTAACTTGTGACAATACTGTACTTAATTTTGAAAAGGTACCTGTTGAAATCAGGCCAAGCGCGAGGCCTCGGCGGCTGTCAAAATACTGGCATGTAATGGTCACTGTCGCAGTGTATAACAACCCGCATCCGAGACCTGAACATAAGAAGACAGCCGGAATTCAGACAGGTGCACAATTTCAATGCAAAAGAAGAAAATGAAGGGCCCCACTAGGAAGCTGTGGAGCCAGCTGCCTAAACACGAGAGTCCCGAGACCCCTCTGTCAGTGTTGTGGACTCAATGGCCATCTGAGAAGCATCGTTTTTCACCCACCTTAATATCAAAGTCAAGTAAAAATGAAAATAGTCCAATTTCTGAAGTATAAAAAAAATTCAAAAAAAAAAACGCTGGGCAGTGGTGGTACACACCTTTAATCCCAGCACTCAGGAGGCTGAGGAAGGCAGATCTTCGTGAGTTCGAGGCCAGCCTGGTCTACAGAGCGAGTTCCAGGACAGCCAAGGTTACACAGAGAAACCCTGTCTTGAAAAACCAATATATATATATATATGAATAATTCACGTGTAATTGGAGTTACTAGAATGAGTCTGAGGAAATGGTTAAGCCATACACCATACACCAAAACTTAATCATGCCTGCACCTCAGGTCTGTGTTTCTAGTCCTTGCAGTGACTCCGTTCTTCCTCCAGCGGCTCTGAACAATTTAAAAATATATATATTTTACTTTTATTTATGTGTATGTGTATCAATTTGACACGTGTGTGTAGTAGGTACCCGTGGAGGCCAAAAGAGAGGATTGGATCCCCTGGAGTTACAGGTGGTTGTGAGTTACCCAAAGTGGGCGCTGGGAATTGAGCCCACGTCCTCTGGAGGCCTAGCCAGTGATCCTAACCACTGAGCCATCTCTCCAGCTCCCCTTGGTCACCCCAAGCTATTCTGCTGGAGTTTATCTTTCACACTTCAGTCAGCAAAACAAAGGATCTGGAAATGATTCCCAATCATCCCACCACCCTAAATCTTAGGTCTGTAAGTCCCCGTCTTTAGAGCTGCTTTGTAGCCTATTGAACAGTAACAAACAGTGAGTATTTAGCTTCAGCTGAAGAAACTCTGGAGGGAAAAAAGGACACAAATGAAGTCAGATACCCACAAGTAGTAAAAGAAGCAGGCACATGGTCGCTTGCAATGGCATTCCCTATTTTCCTGTAGGTTTGAAATTTTCCATAATCAGAAGCAGTCTTGCAGCTAGCTACCTGTGTCTTCTTGAGTCCCCAGGGTAAGACTTGTCTCCTGGTCGCGTCGAGCTTGCTGGCTTTATCTCTTGGTCTCTGTGAATGCTGGTACCATCTGCTCTGATCGGCTGTTTTCCATTAGCATCTCATGTGGCTTCCCTGCATTTACTTCTTACCGTTTTCTGCAGTGTTATCTGGTCGTGATGACCACTCTAAAAATAACACGTAAGCCACTGGCTGAGAAGGCACCCCTGGCTCATTAAGAGCACTGAGGTCATTTTCATTACTTCAACAGCTACCTAGGCGCTCAGTAAACAGATGCCATTAACAAACATACGAGTAAGCATTTCGGGAACTCGGCGCTCAGCCGCTTATTGTAAGGCCCAGGCTGGCCTCCAACTTCCAACCCTCCTGCATGAGCCCCCTGAGTACCGGCACAGCCGATAGGTACCACCCCACCCACTGAGTTGGGGACAATAACAAAAATGGCTTTTGGTGTTTTATAATAAAATGTGTTAGCATTTTAAGGTTCTTTTATTTCTTAGAGAACCAATAATTTTCAGGCAAGCAATTTATAGTATAATATAATCAGGTTTGAATATAGATCTTCTCCAAGCACAAACAAATGGATCCAGTATCACAAAGAGTGGAAGAATGCCCCCTGTGTATCAGATTCTGCATTTATTATTTTTTAAAGATTTTTTTAAAAATTATGTGTATTATATGTGTCTGTGGGTTGCTCTATGCTGGGTTTGCTGGTATGCTATGTCTGTGTAACTGGTTGAACCCAGTTGCCTGTGGAGACCAGAAGAGGGGATCTAACCCCTTAGAGGTGGAGTTACAGGCAGTTGTGGGCTGCCTGCTCCCAGTGCGGGGAACTGAATGTGGGTCTTTGCAAGAGTAGTATGTACTCTTGAATGCTGAGACATCTCTGTAACACGAATTTCTACATGATCTAACCAGAGGCAGATATTGGGGTGAATTCTGAAAGATCAGAGAAGCAGAATAAGCCACAACTAACCTCACCTCGCCAATTCCCCAGTCAATCCTGTTTCCTCAGACTAGAAGCCTGTGAGTCCTCATCTGGATCTCAGCTGAACTGCTGCTAAAAGTCTAAAAGCTTAACCAAGCTCTAGTTCCTGGACCTCACACCTTATATACCTTTCTGCTTCCTGCCATCACTTCCTGGGATTAAAGGCGTGAGTCACCATGCCTAGCTGTTTCTAGTGTGGCTTTGAACTTACAGAGATCCAATGGATCTCTGACTCCCAAGTGATAGGATTTAAGGTGTGTGTGCCACCATTTTCTGGCCTCTATGTCTATCTAGTGGCTGTTCTGTTCTCTGACCCCAGGTAAGTTTATTAGGGTGCACAATATATTGGGGGACACAATATATCACCACACATCTCCCCAGCCCCAAATTTATTATGCTTTACATGTAATATATTAAAACGTAATACACTAAATAAATGTATACTCCATGCCATCTGAAGTTCCTTAGAATTCCTAAGGAAGAAAATAAAAAGTCCCAAGACGCTAAAGTTTCCAAACTATTGTCTTAAGATACTCTCTGGTGGCCAGTCAGCTTTGATCAAATTCTAACAGTGAAAAAAACTTCTGAGGAGCATAATAATTTTAACATCAAATAACCATATTTAGACAAATTGGTGCAACTGTCTAGGGGACTAATGGGAGGGGGAGGAGAGGGGGGAGGGAGAGGAGGTTGAAGGGAATATGTAATGTACAGTATATACTTCTCCTTACATAACACAGTACCATGTACAATGAAGAGACACAATGAATTTTTCAAGTCTGTACTGCTGAGGACTCAAGGCACAAACGCAAGTGGCCCGTCACTGCTCTCTCTGTTTATACAGGTGACCATGAAATGTAATTTAGTGGCCTAATGATTCTTTTTCACCTAGTATGTGCTTTTTCATCTACGTCTGGATGAGACACCGACTCCAGAATCTCACTTTTTTGTTTGTATCAACCCCACTCTGTGAAAATAGAATCAAAATGGAGTCATTTTTTATCAAGCCATAAAACAAAAGCAGAAATAATAGATACAGCGGGAGGGTATGAAGAACAGGATCTCAGGCATATATCCCTGATAGTGAGAGCCGTCAAAAGCCATTCACCAATGACTCTGCAAACCACAATCTGCACAGAGGCCATTGTAACCACACACAGAAAGCACTTCCAACAAGGACTTCTGCCCAGGGACAGCTTCACTTTGGACCAAGGCCACCTTGGAATAGATCTGCATAGTCAAGGATTTTTGCTTGAAAACAGCTTATATAATTCTCTTTATCTCACCTTCACAGACTTCCTTACACACACCCGTCATTTCCTAAGGTGTGTGCATCCCCACTGCTACACTCTTGACTTGTTCAATAAACACAGACAATCTTTGAAGACTCTCCCACGGTTATTCAGCAGGACATATAACTCAGCCAGACCCTAAGCTCTTTATCACACCCACAGCTCGAAGGACCCACCTCCAGCTGCCAGTTCATCTCCTCAGAATTTCTCATCTGAACTCTGACCTCCTCCCAGCTCCCTGAACCTTCAGCACAATTCTGCCTATCTAAGTGTGGTGATACATTGTGTACCCCAATAAAGCTTGCCTGGGGATCAGAGGACAGAGCCAGCCACTAAATTAGACATAAAGGTTAGGCAGTGGTGGCACACACCTTTAATTCTATCTATCACTCAGGAGGCAGAGATCTGTCTGGATCTCTGCGAGTTCAAGGCCACACTGGGCTACATGAGAGAAACAGACCCAGGCAGTGGTGACCCATGCCCTTAATCCCAGGAAGTAATATGGCAGGACACAGAAAGGTATATAATGTGTGAGGAAACAGGAACTCTCTCTCTTTAGACTGAGGATTTTGTAGAGGTAAGAACTTGTGGCTGGCTTGCTCTGCTTCTCTGATCTTTCAGCTTTCACCCCAATTTCTGGCTCTGGATTTTCTATTGATAAGACCATTTAGCAATTCCTGTTACATTTAAGCTGCTGTCTGATGGTGTGCATCACTTCCTGTTTCGGCAATAAAAATGACAGAAGATGCAACATTTCCCCATCAGGATCCTATCAGATGCTATGACATATTTGCAACTTCCCATGTGACATATGCATATACGCATTCCTTTAAAAAAAAGTATGTGTGTGTGTGTGTGTGTGTGTGTGTGTGTGTGTGTGTGTGTGTAGGAAAGGCTGTTGTTTGGGGCTGGAGCACTTGCTGCTCTTCCAGGGAACCTGAGTTTGGTTCCCAGCATCCATGCCAGGCATCTCACAACCACCTGTAACTCCTGCTGCTGGGGATATGATGCCCCTTCTGGCCTCCTCAGGCATGCACGTGCACATACATATTCACACAGACACACACAGACACACACACACACACACACACACACACACACACACACACACACACACACTGAATCTCTAAAGGTTGCTACTTGTTATCCACTGTATCCCATTCTGGGTGTTTGGCTCTGGGTGTCTTCCAATACCCTCAACTCTCTTCCAATCTGCATCCATTGGCCACACCCTACCTATCCTTACAGTCTTGGGTCACACTGTGATTCCTGCCGCCCTTCTTTGCACATACACACAGTACACCAGCACCGGGTACTGGTTTCACTTTGACACTGCCCTTGCTTCTGCTTATGCATATGTCAGTCTGTCCTTCTGCCTAGATGACCAGCTCCATGACTCATGAATTCTCACTTCCGACCTTTAGTACCATCACACTGGGTTAAAAGACACTGAAGATGTAAACATGCGTCATCTATTCCTGGAGTGTAGTACTGAAAACGGCCACTGTCTTGGTTTTAGCTTTCACTCACGTCTATGGCATGTACATTACAGATCCAGGCTCAGACAACACTCAAAACCATAGTTAGTAGCCAGACGTGTGGTGCACACATGTAATCTCAAAACTAGGGAAACTGAGCCAGGAAGATCTAGAGTTCAGGGCCAGACTGGGCCACATAAGGAGATTCTGCTTCAAAACAAAAAACAACAAAACCCACCGAAAATCATAGTTGCTCAACACAATTGCACAGTTGTGAGAACTATCTTTGATAATAAAACTATTTAAGTGAAGACTTGGGGAAAAGTTTATGATACTACTTTTGCTAAGGTGAATATACAAGAAATGGCCATTATCTCATTTCCATAATTAAAGTAACAGAATGGGACAGAAACTCCTATGACCATAGTCTAGTGATTTTTAACATCAAACACCTTTAAGTACAGTATATTACAAAGGGATTTTCATGAAATGTTAAGTGGTTTAGGCTCTGTACTCATTTGTTACTAAATCATCATCAAGTGTTCCCACTACGCCATCTTTATTTGTATGTCTACCGGAACTCCTGGATTGGGTGCTGGCAATAAACTGAAACTCCGCCCACTGTTCCGAAAGTCTCAGCAGCAAACAGAGAAGTGACCAGCGTCAGGAACCTCCGAGCTTACATTCTCCCGTCTCACTTTTCCTTGCTGAAATATAGAGCTGAAAGCCTGAAATCTCTTCCTGTTCCTTGAAGTGGGGCATAAGGGGACTGTCCAAATGTGCGTATCCGAGGGCTAGAGAGTTGGTTCAGCAGTAGGACCCATCTCTCTCACTGGCTGCTCTTCCAGAAGACCCGGGTTCGTTTCCCAGCACCCACATGGTAGCTCATGACTGTAACTCCAGTTCCAAGTGGTCCTTTGCTCTCTTCTGACTTCATGAGCATCAGGTACATGCATGGTACACAGACACCCATGCAGGCAAAACACCAATACACACAAAATCATAAAAGACCACCAACAACAAAATTTAATGTGGTTGTCTCTTCTAGCACTTTGATTCAATGGGCAGACATTTCCTAAAGCAAGAACTTTAGGAGAGTCATAGAGAGTAAGGTATTGCTGGACATTCTCACTCCTCGGGTTAACTTCATAAAATAAGACAGCAGTGAAATGATGTGGACCTGGGGTTAGAAGATTCATGGGGACGGGGTTTCTTACCTACAATGATGCCATAGGAAAAAAACAGAAAGTAGATATTGGGGGCGAGACTGCTCAGCATCAGGCCTCCAGCCACCAGGAAGCCACTGAAGATTGTGACGGGTCTTGCTCCAAAAGATGACACACAGAGGCTGCAGACAGGACCTAAAAGAAATCGAGACCTTTACTTAGGTAGCAGTGACCCCTTCCTTATGACCACATGATCCACCCATCGTCAGTTCAAAAGGAATCCAGCACAGTGCAACACATAAAGGCAACATCTACAGCTCTGAGCACTCTAGGCACTTCTCCACGCTGGACAGGAGGTGCTCTGTCTAACGGTCACAGTCCACTTTAGCCTTCCTGCAGCCCTGGGAAGTAGATACTGTTGCTATTCCCATTTTTTGTTGTTTTGTTTTGTTTTTTGAAAATAAAAGGATGGTGAGCTCGCTGGGAAGAAAGGTGATTATTTGGAGTCAACCTGCCCCAGGGTTTGACTTTCTCTTTTGTCAAGTTGTTGAATCTCAGGCCACTTATTTGCACTCCCCGAGGCTTAGTTTCCTCAGCTGAAAATGGAGATCCACAGTTGGCACCTCCTGGAGTTCTGTACACAGCTGACCGATGGGCAGAAGTGAGCCATGCCTGAATTTGTTCAGTGTAAGAAACCACTGTGTGGGAATTGGGCCTTGAGACTGATTGTGTCTCACCGGGCGCCACGCCAGGGGGAGTGCTCAGAATCATAGCACAGAGCAGATTGGAAATACAGGGTGTTGGGTTACTCAGCCCAATAAGTTCATTTCGCGTGGAAGGAAAGAGAAATTCCAAGAAACTACCATTTCTAGTCCATGGCAGGATAAAGAACCTCAAAGCTTGTAGTCCAGCATGAAGGGACGTCTGGGCAGAAGCTCAAGGCAGGCACCTGGAGACAGCAACTGAAGCAGAGGCTCTGGAGAAAGGCTGCGCACTGGTTTGCTCCCCATGGCTTGCCCAGCCTTCTTTCTTGAACCACCCAGAACCCCCTGTTCAGATGTGGCACCATCCACAGTGGGCTGGAGTCTACCACATCAATCATTAATCAAGAAAATGCCCATAGCCTTGCCTACAGGCCAATCTGATGCAAGCATTTTCTCAATCTGAGTTCCCTCTTCCCAGATGCCCCTAACTGGTGTCCAGTTGACAAAAACAAAAAACCAAAAACAAAAACCTAGCAAGCAAGCATAACTGGTGTCTTTAGTTGGTTCATTTTGTGTTCTTTCGATGGGACTTTAAATCTGTGCTCTTTAATTCATGTGAGCGAGTGTCACAAGGAAACAGGGTGTGAGGTACAAAGGTAAGAAAGATGGGTAACGATCTTCACAGAATGTACCCAAACCAGCTAAGTGTGACCAGGACAGGACACACTCATGGGGGCAGGTCTCCGTCTCCAGAAGCAAGGTCTCTAATACAATAACCAAGTCTTGGTCCTCAGCACCAGCCAAGTCCCAGATTGCAATCAAATCAATCAAAGGACTGTTCTCAAGGGAGGTTTCTTATGTTGCTTGGAGTCTTTCACTTAACAGAAAAGATCTTTGGAATGAAAGCGGTTTGCTCCAAATATGAACTATTGAAAATGGTTAAGATGAACAGAGAGGTTTGCTGGTGTTCAGTCTGAGATATGTCAAACAGAGTAACCAACTGTCAGGGCTAGTCCACTGGAGAAAAAACCTCTCCTAATAAGGAAATAGTAACAGTCCTGAGAATATCACTTCAAAATGCAAGCCGGTATGAAGGCACGGAGAGGCTGAGCCCCAGGGAGCCTGTTCTGGCCACCTGTCCTCAATAAGCCAATTAAAAGAGTGAAAGGGGGGATTTATTAATGTGGCCACGGTGGGAAGAAAGACCAAGAGATCCAGTGACCCTCCCAAACCCGTCAGGGACTGAGGATGGAGAGTTAAATACAAAGCCAGAGCTACATAGCTAAGCGGTCCAGCAGGCATGATCTCTGCCCCTCAGCTCCAAGTCTCTCTGAAGGGTCATCTCACAGGATTCAGTGTTTCTCTGCAGACAAATTCCTCCTCTGGCTTCCCCCAGGTTCAGCCTTGTCGGCTCTCCATAGGAGATTCCTGAGGAAATTCCAATTTCTTAGAGTTTATTGTTTCGATCCTCTGAAACAGGAGTGTCTCTTTAGAATATTTCCATTGCCTGAAAAAGGCAGGTTACAGGGGGTTTGGGGATTTCAGAGGAGGATTGTCACCCAGGGCCCAGGACCTGAACCTTGAGTAAAGTGAAGTATCATCCTAGTCACAAGTGGGATGCAAAAGCATTCCAAACGGAGCAAGCAGGTCATGATGATTGCAAAGTGTTTGTGTTCTATCCGCTGCCACAGGTACCCAAGAAACACAAAGGAGGAAAAGATGCTCAGGGTTTCAGAAGCTGTGTTATAATGATAAAAGAGAGGGGAAGCCAGCAGAGTTCATCATTCCCTTCAGGAGTGAGGTCTGTCTCTATGTGAGGACCTCAAGGCCATGATTAAGTGCGAGGGGAGTATTAGACAGAGATAATGCAATAAATCAGTGGTTCTCAACCTGTGGGTCTAGACCCTTTGGGGCTGAAGTACCCTTTCACAGGGGTCGCCTAAGACCATCAGAAAATACAGATATTTACATGGTGACTCATAACAGCAAAATTACAGTTACAAAGTAGCAACAAAAATAACCTTATGGTTGGGGGTCACCGTGTTAGGAAGGTTGAGAACCACCACAATAAATGGAGATCTAAATGTGACAGGGCCTTAAAGAGGAGGGGAGGCATTCCTTTAAGACCTGGAAAGAAGTTTCATTAAGATTGGGAATGAACCCTGGTGGTGGTGGTGCAGGGCTTTAATCCCAGCACTCAGGAGGCAGAAGCAGGCGGATCTCTGTGAGTTCGAGGCCAGCCTGGTCTACAAAACGAGTTCCAGGACAGCCAGGGCTACACAGAGAAACCCTGTCTCAAAAAAAACCAGAAAAGATTGGGAATGAGAGAGAACCACACACAGGAGCTGAGGTGGTGGGGGCGGAGGGGGAAAGGAGTGTTAGCAGCCAAGAGAGGGAGGCCAGAGGGGCCTCCTCAGAAAGCAGCTTCCAAGCAGCTCCCTAAGCAAATCTTCCTGAGGAATCCAGGACCGAGTCTTCGAACAAAAAAGAAATCTGACTTTTTATGGCCATTTAGGGGGTGGCAGGAAGTTTCACATCATGTGATTTAGTTCAGTACAGCTTATGTGACCAGGAGCCTGGAGGAGCCAGGTACTGGTTGAGACCATAAATCAGGAGCTGCTGTTAAACTACCACACAGACAGCTTCTTAACTCTGAGTCCGGGAAGGGCTGCAAGAAGGTACAGGTTGAAGTCTTCGAGCTCTGGGAAACGGGCCTTTTCAAAGTCATCACTGTCTTTTAGAGTGGGCCCATGTTCTAACAGGTTTCAGTCCATGGCTGGCTGCTCTACCAGTTCTGGGCTTGTAGTAGGACACAGCATCACGGCAGGGAGCTTGGGAGAGCAGAGCTGATCACCTCACAAAGGCTAGAAAAGAGCCGGGTGGTGGTGATGCACACCTTTAATCCCAGCACTCCGGAGGCAGAGACAGGAGAATCTCTGTGAGTTCGAGACCAGCCTGGGCTACAGAGTGAGTTTCAGGAAAGGCTCCAAAGCTACACAGAGAAACCCTGTCTCAAACACCGCCCCCCCCCAAAAAAAAAACTAGAAAAGAAACAGAAAGGGAGAGGGGGAGGGGGGTGGGAGAGGGAGGGAAGGGGAAAGGCGGGGAGAGGGACAGATATCCTTGAAGGCATGACTCCAGTGACCTACTTCAAGTCTCCATATGTACCCCAACATAGACCCATTAGCTGGGGACCAATCCTTTAAAACATGAACTATGACATTTCATATTCAAACCATGGTAGATCAGCTGGGTGCAGCGGCAAACACCTTTAATCACAGCACTCTGGAGGCAGAGGCAGGCAGATTACTATGAGTTCTTAGGCCAGCTTGGTCTACATTCACAAGTTCCAGTCCAGCCCAGACTACCTAGTGAGACTCATATCTCAAAAAACCAAAGCTAAAAACAAACAAAAAAACAGGAAATGTAGCTCTAAGAAAAAAACCATGCTTTTTGGGGGGAAAAAACAGTCATTACATTTCTCTCCTTGTATTTATCTCCCCTAAAAAGTTTCTGGGGACCCAAGAATCAAAGGACAGCCAGGACAGCTGCATCAAATCTCAAATACATCATAGATTCAGTATACATCATGAATCTCAAATTCACCCTTGGGAAAGATCATCTTTGATCACATACAAATTGATTGACTCTGTTGGCTGGTGGGTTTGCTGATATTTGTACAAAATGGTAAAAAAAAAAAAAAAAAAAAAAAAAAAGTAACCAAAACTCACTTAACCATCAGCCCAGAAGGGCCTGGTCCATGGGGACTGGCCCATGCCACAGACTCCTACAGAGGGCGGAAGTCAGTCCTTGAAGGAGTTGAGGGTCCTTCCCAGCTCAGGGCTAATCCTCACGTGCAGCAGCCCTGTCAGCGCTCGGAACACTTTGAGGCAGTGGGTCTTCCTGCACAGACCTAGTCTTCTACCGACTCACCCTGGCAGGTGGAAGGCTGCAGGAATGAAGAATCCAAAGTGGGGAAAGAGGGACTAATAAATCTGCCTTGAGCCTCCAACTAAAGGATGAGAGAGTCCTCCATTGTTTCAGCAATGAGGTTGGCTCCATTCTTCTCCTTGAACTTAGAGAATGACGTATGTTTCACGGGTGTGGGGGCGGGGGATGCTTTAGCGCATCAGAACGCTGCAAAGCCACGGCAGTCCTCTGACTCAGTGACCTTCCTTCCACTCCTTCTGTGCTCGTCTGGATCAGCCACAGAAACAAAGCCAACAGGAAACACATATTAAGGGATCTATAGTGAGGGAGCTGCGGGCTAAGGGCCAGGCGATACTTGCCTAGGTAGGCAAGTCGAAGATCCGTGGGGCGAGTCACCGGGAGGGGCAAGCTGGGACTCTCGGTTACAGGCCGAAGCTGCAGGCCTCAGGCAGGATTGCTTTTTTTTCTGGGAAAGTTTCATTCTCTTCTAGAGTCCACCCAGATTATCTAGGATAAACTCTTTCTCTGAAAGCCAATTGCATACTTACATCTTAAAAACAA